TATAGGGAGAAATCTTTATTCTGAAAATTTCAGATTCTAATATATATCTTATATATCGTTTTGTTTCAACAATTTAATAGTGAAATTGTCGTATCTATTAGATAACTTTCACTAAAACTTTGAGATCTTAACTATTTAAAGCGACCAATATTACACCATTGGAAATAGTTTCCAATTATAAAATAAATCTAGTTTACTGAACGAAAACTTTAGAAAAAACACTCCAACAAGAATTAAAAATAATTTCAATAGGATCATCAAATTGTTAATAAATGCAATAGAAATGTTAATGTAGGGCATTTTATACTAATACGTGATTCATCATTACTTTTTATCGTACCATCTATATTAAGTGTATATCTAATAGGGATAAAAAAATTTATAAATAATTCGTCTATTTTTATATTGGATAGTTTGAAATAAGTTGTTCAACAAGTTTAGCAGTTGATTTTCGTTTTTCATTAATAATTATTAATGTTGAATCTAATTCATCATTTTTTTTTATTTACTAGGATATCTGGTTGTTCATTATGAGTTTAAATTAATGATTGATCAAAATAATATAAATTTGTATATTTAAGTATGATTTCAAATGTCTCCAATAAGTTTGATAGAACATTATCATCATTATGTTGTAAACGCATATGATATACCATATCAAAACACTAAGAAAACTTCACGTTGAAAATAAAATCATTCGTTATATGTTGAACACTAATTGAAAGATGTTGTTCATATTTATGTATATATTTACTTCTATTTATTAATTGTTAACTATTGCTTGATGTTTGAAACTCTTCAGCACTTAAATCAACTTATTGAAGAAGATATTTTATTCAAACTGTACAATAATTTTGATTATGATATTCAAGTAATGGATCTATTCAAATAAAAGACAATGATAATAAATTGAAATTCTTATTTGAATGGTAATTTACCCATTGTATTCGCTATTAGAAAATCTGCTATAACTATGAGATAACGAGTTATAGTAAACAGACAAGTAGTTAATGGATGACGAATAAGTGCCGATTGATATAACATATTTGCCAAATAGGCCATGGGAAGTGTCAAAGAATATTTTACTACCTAATTAAATACTTCAAAAGAAAATTATTTATTATTAATATTAGGGAAAAAAGCAAGAAATTTGTTTTCCTTCGACTTCATACTTCAACTATAACGATAGCCAGTGAATAACTATGGCTAAATTTTTTAATGTCCCATTGAAATTTAATAGTAAAGGAAATTTTTTTATTCTTAATCATTTATTTGATTATATGCTAATATATAAATAGCTAATAGTATTCCAATTAATGCTAAGCGACTGTTCCATTATGTTTTGATTTTACATCCGGATCTGATATTGATTTATATAGAGCATTAACAAATATATATTCTAATAGATGTTCTACTGCTCTTTTATCAAGTTCACTTGATATAGCAATTGAATTCCATCATAATAATATAAAAATTGTATCAGTGAGAAATATATATGAATTTACAGATCATTTTTCAAATGTTTGATTGCATATTCGAATAGTTTGTGTTACTCAATATAGTGCATAAGATTTAAATATTGTATGTGTAAGAAGGTACGTTAAAAATAATCGTATATTGAATCAAACTATTAAAATACTAGATTTTTTATAGAAACATATGGTGAAAGATGGCATATCTATTTGAGAATTAGTATTTGGTGATATAATATCATTTGTTTCTATATGTTTTAGTAAATAAATCATAGCTATCATACATAAATGTTAAATAAGTTCATCCGTTTCGATTTGTAGAGAGTTTTTGCCTAATTTATTCACTGTATCTTCTATTATTGTTGGTCTTTGATCACAGTCGCCATTTTAAAGATATTCCTAAAGGTGTATCTTGACAAGAATTTTAGGGAGTCGGAGTTGGGTACTCTCCACCCCACATTAAGTATCACGCTTTCTTAATGAAACTCCATTCTTGGCACCCACACTATTGCGATATGTGCGCCAGAGATACGGCGTTTGAATGTCCGTTGCAAGCCGTGATAAATATTATAATTCAACGTTTTTCTACTTAACTGTGCAAGAGTAACAAGTGTTCATTTGTTTCAAGGCGACATCTCTTCATGTGCAATCTAATCTTTTTTAATTTGTGCAAAGGACTTCGAGTTTTTTTTCAAAGTATTCAATGACCTTTCGTTATTTTGAGGTTTAGGATGTTCGGATTGGTTTGATTGGAAAGAGCTTGAAAAAATAGGAGGTTCGTCTCTCCAAGAATTTTTGATAGCCGCTTTCGTTTCAGAGTTATTTGCGTTTTTCTGCCGGTTTTTGGGTTCTTGTCACATGTTAGTAGGTGAGATGCGAAAAAATTTTTAGATGGTATGTCTCCTCTGTTTTCGGATGTTTTGAGACTGGTTCTTGAAGGTGATGATCAAAAACTTTTTCATGTGTAAGATTTTTACCCGGTCACGTGACACCTGTTTTCTAGAGAAGATATGTTTTTGCCCAGTTTGGATTGATCGGCGATGTTTGAGGTTTAGTGACCGCGGGTGGATACCGACGCGAAGGAGGTTGGCTCCGGTTTTTGGTCGGGTTTTTCAGGTTTTAGTCGTATAGTGCTGATGTAAATGTATTTTGTTGGCTTTGTGGTATTTGCTTTGGCATGACTTTCGTTTGTGACGTTGGTTTCACTGCCTTTGTATCTGGATGAGTTTGTCGGATTCTTCCTTTAGCATCTAGGGTGCTGGTTGATAATCGCATGTGTGGGACGCTTTGATTGTTTTGTCTTTTTAGCAACTTGCTGATTGATGTTGGAAGTAGTATTATGATGAATGTCATAATTTTCTTCTGCTTTTTTCTGAACTGTATGATAAGAAAGTGTAAGTGTAAGGCGAATAGTAGAAGTGCATATTCTGAATGCGTCTGTGGACTTTCAAAGGTTGCCACAGTCAATAGTGTAAATAGCATGGGTAGAAAGCGTTCGCTGAGCGAACTGTAGAAGTGAAGCCTGTAAGCACTGGTGGGTTATCGATTCAAGTCTCGTATAAGTCTCGAAAGAGGCGATGTATATGAATAAAAATGAGTCTCTCGTCATGTAATGGTTGGCTGCACAGAAATGAGCTGCAATCTGTACAAGATGAATTCACTTTTTTGCTGTCATGTCTTTAGAGATAAGAGTGCAATGTAATTGGGAGTTTTATGTTTAGTGTTGCCTAATGGCACTGCTGTTACGCCATAGGGAATGAATCTCGATAAAGACAAGATTGTACAGTAGTTTATGAGTAAGTTGAATGGATCGAAGTTAGTTGAAAAGGTATCGCCAATAAAACTATTTACTATTGTCGTTCAGTATCGGACATAGTGAAGAATGGTAGGCAGTTTCTTGCCAGCAAATGAAGCATTAAGTTCAGAATAATATTTCTTTTTTGTTGTCTGTCTAAAATCTTCATGCATCGCTGCTTTGGGCAAACAACAAATATCAGTGTTTCCATATTTCGATAAATGATACGAAACGGGTCGATTAAATTAACTCTTCATTTTTCTGTACTAATCATTTCATTTTTAGCACATCATCAATATTTGAGAATTATTTCGGCTAGGCCGATAGCTGAATATCAAAAGGTAAGCGCTGCAGTTTGATTTATATGACAAAGAAATAGGTCAATCTGCTTTCCCTCTGTATTCAATTGCATTTGAATCACATTGCTCACATGGTTTCTTCTACTTTTAGGTTGCGAATGGTGTCTAGACATCTTCATTTTGGTACTAGGTTTCGGCATTCATGATACTTATGAATAACGGTTTCTGTTCTCTTTTTTTCGGATCGGAGCTATTTTCGTCTTTTCTGTTCACACCTTCAATCTATCAGTATGGGTTTCATTATTTGAGACTTTTCAAATGTCTGTTGCAATGTTCTTGTATGTCTCCAAGAATACTATTTTATTATTCTGAGCATTCAGTACGAAATCGCTGCATTCAATAGTGTTTGTTTCTATGATATTGTGGATTATTTGTGCTTCTGAAAGGCTTTTCGTTGAATGCATCAATGGATTTACACAGTGCCTCTTTGTGGCTCCCAATATATCAGCGAGGATCGTTGCTGTTTTATTGGACATCAGATCCGATTGTTACACTGTATGATAATGTCAGTTGATTCTCCTTTTACCAAATTGACGCAAGACACATTCCAAGTACCATTTGTTGCAGATGACTGTCACCTTTTTACGTACGAGTGTGCTTGTAACGATTAATTTTTTGTAATTTAAGCATTTTGATGAGGAAATTATAGTCTCCTGTTGTGATTAGGATGTATAGAAAACCTCTGTCGTCTCGAATATACTGAAGAACTAAAAATATAGAGACAAGAAGCGCTGCCGCTTCGTCAAAGTAGCTGCATTATTCATTTATAAAGGTTTCTTTAACCAATATTATTAATTCTTTCATTTCTTTTGAAATACTCATTATTTATTTGCTCATTTGAAAGCTAAATGTTAAGCAAATAACATCTGCTACAAGCATATCAAGTTAACAAATTTATTTTTAATTCTTAGTCTGCTAAACAGGATTTATTTTGATGTATGAAAGAAGGACAAATACGAAATGATATTGCGATTTAAACGACTGTTAGGTAATAATTGATGACTACTTGTATACACTCTATAACATTTCTAACCTACATTGAGGAATTCAAGCATAGCTTCTGGTTGCACATTTGGTATTAGCTACTAATCGTCATAAGTAAATAATTTAGTAGGTTGTTGCTCAAGTAGAGTCGCATCTCATCAAAACAAAAATAGGTATGAAGAGTATGTGCTACTTTATGTTGTTTGCTTTCTTTCTTTTTCTGATATGACAACAAGCTATTATTAATGCATGTCACTATCACATATAAGCAGAAGACGTGAAAATTGAAATGAGCATCATATCTCATTATCATAGTTTTTGCTTTCATTTATATCAAAACCAAATGTTTTTTTTAAAGATTTGAAGGGTGATTGTTACATGAGTGGCTCATAAAAAACAATATTTTACATATGAAATTCTGTTTGTACGTATCTTAACTTATTCAGGGCTTCACAATACACGTTGTCATTCTACTTATAATAAAAAGAGGACTGTTAAAAAGTAGAATTTCAGAAATAGTTGTTAAAAGTTCAACGTGAAATTGCAAATATGAGACGTGACCATTATTTTGTTGTCGTTTCTCCTAGGTTGTTGTTGTGTCTCACGCCTTCGGGTATATAAAGATCTGTTTTACGTGTGATGAATTCATTTCGTCGATCAACACAACAGTAGCAACATCGATTCTTCTACTATAATCTCCACTGAATACAATAAGTGCAATCATTTTCGAAACGCACGGGGTACTTAGGTTCCAGAATTTTTATTTAATTCTTTGTGATTAATAGTAAAGATGTTTGTCTCGATGTGTTATGAGGATAGTACTACTAGATTGGTAGAAGTGTCTTAAGCGATTGCGATGACCAACGGTCGTTTTAGTACTATATGATGGCTTCTCTTCGGGTCAATTTTTTTCAGTGAATTAAGTTCCTTGTTAAAAGACATTTATTCGCATCTTCCTGTGGATTCAGATAGTTTTGCGTAAGGTCACTGCGACTGTCTGAAGTTGCTGTCCCATCGATCGAAGCGGAATCAATGAATGACTTGATTGTCTTCGTTTGTGTTGCAGTGCATGAAATAATTTGTTAAAAAAACAGCGGTTTAAGGTCAAATTAAGTTTTCTTACTTAGGTCTTCATTTTGGAATTGTGTGTTTCTTTTGCTTTCCGTTGAACTATTATTCTTTTCATTTTTATATAATGTGGTTTGGTGAAAAAATTCTTTGCTCTTTCTTCGATCTATGTGCCTAAGGGAAGACTGACAAACTCCATTTCAATCCAAGAATATGGCAGCTCCTTTACTGAGAATTTTTCTTCGATTTCCACGTTTCTCAGTATTCTTATATGATGAACCTCTGGCAGATAGACTTGCTTAATATCTTTTCATCTCCTGGTGAGGTTGATGATTCAACATAGGATTTTGAACGCATGCCTTTTTGTTCTTTTCACTTACTGAATTCAACTCTATTGTCACAGTTGTCAGGGATGAAGTCTGGTTTTCGTTGTATAACTATGATATATAACTACACAGATACAAAATGTTTTGCTATAGTATTTACATATATTCAATGACTTGTGAAAAAAATTTGAACATATTTTGTAAATTTTAAATTGACTTTTTTTCATTTCATATAGTACTATTCTACGATATATACAGATCAGTAACTTTATCACATTAGTATAAAAATGGTAAACGATATGTCAGATTTAATTCATAAATTTCATCGGCGTATTCACGAAAAATATAATGATACAAATGAGATAAGTCCATTAAGGG